AAAACAATCCTAGGTAATAAAGGCAAAGCAGGGGACATTACAATTTCTGATTTGAACTTATACTGCAAAGCTACTGTGATAAAAATAGCATGGTACTGGCAAAAACAAAACCAAAAACAAAAAAGAAAAACAGACCTAAGGATCAGTGGAATACATTAGAAGACACAGAAACAATTCCAAACACACTCAGCCACCTTATTTTTGACAAAGGGCCCAAGCATGCTCACTGGAAGAAAGACAGCCTCTTTAATAAATGGTGCTGGAAAAACTGGCTTTCTATATGCCAAAGACTAAAACTAGACCCATGTCTCTTACCAGGCACTAAACTAAAATGGAAGTGGATCAAAGATCTAAATATTCAAACAGAAACACTAAATCTTCCAGAAGAGAGAATAGGTAGAACTCTTGAGGACATAGGTATAGGCAAAGATGTCATGAACCCTGATTGCACAGAAAATACTACAGAGAATCAACAACTGGGATCTCCTCCTATTAAAAAGCTTCTGCACAGCTTGCACTTTTGCACTGCTTGGTGAGCATCACAAACAATTTCCATCAAAGCATACTGTGACTTCGTGGTCTGCAAGGATTTGTCTAAAAATGGGAGCTGCCACCAACAGACGGAGCAACTCAAGTCGCATCACAGCTGGTCTTTCAAGAGACTGAGAGTAAGAACACTGTATTCCACAAAAGAATTTCCTGTGGGAAGTTCCCAAGAGGCCAAACTAGAGGGTGCATGTCTCCTGCTTGCTTGCAGACTTGGACGGAAGCCACTGTCTCTTGAGAATCCAGCCAGCACGACACGTCTCCATGAAGCATCAGAGAAGCCAGGGTGACTGGGATCTCTGCTGCAGGCCATGTGGAGAAGAAGCACCTTACCCAGCTGTTGGGAAGGTTCCGGAAGTCACCTTCCTCATTCAGAGTCAATGGGCCTCAAAAGGGCAGCTTCTGATGGATGACCCAGTGTGGTTCCCTCCATCTAGGAAGCTCAGCTCTTAATTGCTGCTTTTGTCTTTTCTCTGAGGCAAACTGTGAAGTGCTCATTGATGCAATTTCCTACACTCTATGTACATCGACCAGCTTTCAACCAAACCTTTTAAGAATCCATTATTTGCACAGAGCATTGAAGATTCAGCAATGAGCTACAGCTGTTCACGCTCTCAAGAGACTCAGAGTCCAGTGGCCACCTTGATTAATGGCTCATTTTATTTTCTAGTTCTTTTGAATCCCCCACCCTCTGCCAAGTAACTTCTAACTTCATCCGTCAATGAAAATATAGGTTAGACCCGAAAATATAGGTTAGACCCGGACATCTGTTCGCCAGTGTCCCCACAGTCAGGCGCGAGGATTTGTAGAAACCGCTGGCGAAGCTCAGACTCTGAAGACTCCCGCCGCATCCGATTATCTCTTCTCCAAACAAAGCAGCGCTGTAATATGCGACAGCAGTGCTCGCAGTTGAAGAGGTGTGCACATTAAGAAAACCAGTGCACAACGAGCACAAACAAAAACATGTGCCCTTGAGTGTTTATCCTGAGTCCAGGAAAATACATTAACCAAGTCAAATAGAGAAAAGGGACTAGCGGGCTGCAATCGTAAGGGACAGGGGAGCAGGGCCCCAGCTGGCATCCAAAAAGACAAGCATGGTGGGAGGCAGGGGAGAAGGCACAGACCCGAGCTCGTCTGAGGGGCTGAACTTCCACCAGGAAACGGGAGAGCATTTTCCCGAAGTGAAAAGATGGGGACCCCCATAAAGCAGCCGAATGTTGGAGATAATGTTGAATGGTGACCCACCATTCAATGCCTGCCCTTGGCTTTTTTCTCCCTTTATTTTTCCAAGTCATTACATATGATACACAGTGAGTCGGCCAACAATTACTTGTCTGTGGCTCTATGTGTGGATAGTTTTAAAAATTTGCAGAGCTCTAAATGATGTAACGCTACAAAAAAGAATGTCAGGGTTCTTTTTTTCCATGAGATGATGCTAGAATAGGAACCTGGACTTCAGGATGCAGCTGGCTCCTAAGCATAAGCCTACAGGTATTTAGAGAACACCTCAGTCATTTGCCAGAGGCTGTGCTGCAGTCCAGGGTCAAAGCTGTACAAATGTCTCTGCCTTCACATCACAGACTTCAAAACGCCCATGTGCTGGCACCAAGAGCCAACTGAGAGTGTCCCCATCACAGAACACACCTGAGCCCTATTGCCTCGCTTTGCAGAATCAGATGCTGACCACGACCTCAGTATGGCTGCCAAACCATGTGCATGGCATTCGATTTGGTGAACAGGGTTTCCCAGCCACAGTTTTCATACAAAACAGCACAAGCACCACTGAAAATCTGCATGTCTTCTGGGGCCTCCATTTTCCCATCTATACAATGGGGATAATAATAACTGTCCTCCAGAGCATTGATGAGGACTAAGAAAGGTCACAAACACACAGGCACTGACAAGAGTCTGGCATGTCATAGGTCAGCTAAAGAAATGTTAGGGGTCATCCTTTGTCTCTCAAGGAAAAGAGCCCCCTGTAGAGACAGAAGCTAAGAAAAGAGATAAGCAGAGGTCCCCCGTGACCCCTCGTAGCCCAGGGTCCTTGCATCCTAGCTGGCCTAGGGTGCACTGCTGACTGTGGTGCAGTCCAGCTGGGCCCTTGGGTGTGGCGCCTCCATGATGGCTGACAGGTGCCGCCACCTGTCTCCTCTGGAGGCACTGAGGCCTGGGTTCCCCTACCCCAGAAATGCTGGTGTGCTTACGAGTAAGGAGTATCCCGGGAGATACTCACACTGGGGTGTTTGGATTCAGGAGCAAGGAGCAAGGAGCAAGAGTCAGAGGCCCTGGGTGAAGGGGTGAGGGTGGCAGAGATTCATGGGAAGGAAGAAAAACAGCTCAGAAATGTGAAAATAAAGCATAGTTTTTAAGACTGACCAGAGAAACACTGACTATTCAATGTGGAGGAGTCATCAAAAGTGAAACCGGCACTGGACTGGATTTCCAAGGCCTGCGGAACACTGCTTTGCTCTGGAACAAAGGACAGAGGGCTTTGAAGGCCCTGCACAAAAGCCAGCAAAGCATGAAGAATCAAAACTTTGCAAGGATCAAGGAGGCCTGGCGCAAGCTCTGAAGAGAGGAGAGGGGAGGTCACATTCCTTCATCTAATTACCAGCACCACCATCTGTACCCCAGGGACAGGGACGGCCACTGAGCATGTCTCCACCCAGCTTAGGGAGACACAGAGCTGACAAGATGGGAATCTATGCGAACACTGTGAAACGTGGGTCTCACATGCAGTCACTGTGTGACATGACCTGCCCCGTATTAACATCAGCACCCGAGACTGTCTCAGGTATGTTACCCTGAGCTCATGAGAAACACACATCACGAAAGGGGAAATCACCCACATAATAAGCCTTGCACCCTCCAGCATGAAGCCTGAAGCTGCTGGACATTGAGCAGCTAATGCAGGAGCTGCTGGGGGCCACCACCCCAATGGAGGCAGCTCTGGGATGTTCTCCTCCAGTCCACGCCAGTTAATGCCCCCCGGGGGGCCACAAGCAGCCTGGGCTCACACCTCCTGAGAGGATAAGAAAGCCAGGGCATGTGGGCACAGGCCTCTCCTGTACAGTGCCAGCTGCATGGGGAGGCCAGGGCCAGAAGCTCCCTGAGGGAGAATGACGCTGGCCAATGACAGTGAAGATTCCCAGTCCCCTGGGACCAGACCAGTGAGGTGGCCGGTCACAGACACACTTCTTACTCATCAGTGGGTGCAGTGACCCCACTCGCAATGGCTGGCACACAAACACACTCACATACACATTCACACATACACATGTGCATATAACCTCACACAGACACATGCAACTCACACACATGCACACTCATATGCAGTACAGCTGACACATGTGCACATACTCAAATACAAACACACTCATACACACATGTGCATATAGCATTCTCATACAGACACATGTAACTCATACATGCACACTCATGCATACATCTACACACTCACATGCATACAAATACATGCATTATATATGTACACACCACTCACATGCACATACAACTGACACACATGCACTCACATACACATATGCATATGTACACTACGCCTGCACATCCACACATGTGCACAGAAAACTGACATACGCACAATCCCAAAGATATACATATGTGTGCACACATATACACTCAGCATACACACTCACATGTGCATGTACACAGACGCAGCATGCACACTCACACAAATACCTATATATGCACATACAACTGACGCATATCCATGCATATATTCACACATACACCTTCATACATGCATGTTCAAACTTACACATTTATGCACCTACAACTCATTCACACACCAACTCACATGCATAATACACATATACTTACATGTACATACAACTCATACACACACTCACAATGCATATCCATACATTCACACATATTCATACTCTCACAATATACCTTCTACACACTCACAAGTGTACATGTTACACTTACACACTCATGCCCACACACATAACAAACACGTACACTTATATGCACACTAACACACACATTCTCAGATGTGTCCATCACACATACACACCATACACATAGGCTCACATATGTACAAGCACACACAGAGTCCTGCTTACACTCTTACATGCTCGCATATGTCTCCCACACACTGTTAACATCCTGCAGGAAACGTGGTTTCCACCCCCACCCCACTGCCCCAGCCTGCCCCAGCCCCTGACCAGCCACACCACCTTGCCCACTCCTCCTGTGCCCCGCACAATGTGCTGGCTCTGACGCTCTCATGAACTCTGGTCTGGCTTCTCCCCTGCTTCCTCCCGGCCCTGGGTGAGTGTCTTGGAAGGTCAAGCCCAACTCTCTGACCTGTTGCCTTGGAGGGTGGAGCCCCAGGTCCAAGTAGACAGTACAGGACTGCTCTGAGCTTTCCCGGGGGGCAGGACTCAGGCTCAGTACTGGCCAAGCCCTCTACATTCCAGGGCTCTTACCTCATTCACAAAGACCCAGTGGCTGTCCTTGGAAGCCAGGTTGGTCTCCACGGCCTGCAGAGAGAAGAGAACTCACGTGAACGGAAGCAAGCTGGAGCCAGCAGGCACTCAGGGTGGTTGCTGAGATGGGGTTTATAAACACTGTTCTTGCAGAAATTCTTCCTCACCAAACGCTGTCCCCTTGAGGCCCACGCCAGCTGCCTCAGAGTCAGGAGGCATCGACGAAACACAGACATCTGATTCCCCACCTTCTTCCTGCTCTCCTGCACCAGCCTGGAGCGAGGTGAGAGAAGCAGTTGCTGCAGGCACTAGGGGGCCACAGCGCGGGAAACCTGCCTTCCCCAAAACACCTCTCTGCAGAAGCACTTGGGACACAGCTCATCAGAGCCCCAGGATGTAGAATCAGGAAACTGGAATGCTGGATTCATAGCAGCTTGTCCAGCTGTGTCGGATGACACAGGGAAAACAGAAACTCTGAGCTGGGCCTTGGAGCCACCCCCTTTCGGGGTCTTCCCAGCTCCTGGGGAGCAGCCCACCCGCTGTCTCATCATGCTTTGTTCTATTTGTTACAGTGCTCACCTGCTCCAGGCTCGGACGGTTATTAGCAGCTCATTTATTACTCATGTGTCTTCTCTCCTGGGGTGGGGAGGTCTAGGCGCCACACCAGGACACTCATGAACTTGGGGGGAGCTTCAGTGGCAGTCCACTTTTATTTATATATTATTATTTTGCATCTTACAATAGAATTTTTATTTCTCTTTTGATTAGAAAACTAAAAATGTTCAAAGCCATCTCATAGCGTGTCACCATTTTAAAAGAATATGCTAATGTAATGAAAATGTCCCACTGGTCCCTCTAGAATCATCCCCCATAGTTCCTGCCAAAGGCTTCTATATCACAACTGCAAAAGCCTGTCTACACATGTGTATCAAACAGGTGTCTTTCTTAAAACCATGCCAGACATGACACACCAGGCTAACGTTCTCATGTTTGACTTGTCATTATATTCGCAACGCATTTCCTGGTCAGTACTGAGGTCAGACTGCTACTTGACAAATGAGGCATAGAGGGCTCAGAGCCTGCACCAGTGACCCCACCCACATGTGGCCCAGCAGGGTCCCAGGCTCTTTGGGACCCTGTACAGGGCAGTGTAGGACCTCCCTCCCCAGTGGTGGGTGTGCCCAATGGCAAGGGTGATAATGTCAGGAAGATGGAGGTTGTGGACAGCCCAGGTGAGCTCCAGCCCCCATCCCTGTGCAGCCAGCACCCCAAGAACAGCAAGAGTGGGCATAGGGACTTCCTTGAGCCCACTGGAACTGAAGGATGCAGATTTTGTTCTCTAGCTCATGAATAAGAAGATACCACACCCTGAGAATATAAACTGAGACAAGACTAGAAGGGGGTGATCTCCACTTCACTGCCTTTGGTCCATTCCTGTCATCTGTACAATGCAAATGACACCTGCCCCTCCTGTCTGCCAAGGTATGGAAATCATCAGTCTCAGAAAGAAGCAGACACCAAGAGTGGCATCCATCATGTCCCGAGTGTTCCTGAAGCAGAGATGGGAAAGAAGTCATCCCCACCCTGTACATAGGTCCAGCCTCACCTCCCCATTTACTCACACTCCAGCTTGGGTCCTGGGAGCCTGTATGGGCCCCACAAACCCCTCATCCTGTTCTCTTCACAACCATCACACAGGAATCCTCAACTGTCCACATGTCAATCCACACAGACCTGGCCGTTGCCTCCTTCCTACCTGCAGGAGACTCCGGGTGCTACTCTCACACTCAGAAGACAGAGGGTGCCAGAGATGCCCTGGGTAAACACCGAAGACCCTCAGAAAGGCAGGGGTGTGGGGTCTGTTCTGCCTTGGGTGTTGGTCAACTGAGTCACCCTGCTTGATGGAGGACACCACTCGACGTGGCCTAGTCTTCGGCTCGGACGTGTAAGCCAATGTCTACTTAAAGAAAGTAAGGCTGCTGAGAGGCCTGGACAGTGTAGTGCCTTTAAACACATGGAGAACTATCCTGTGTGAGAGACTGGAGTTTATCTTTACAGCCCCTGACAATAGATTTTAAACCAATAGCTCCAATAAGCAGAGACGATGATCAACTCAGCTTCTGTGAGAACATCCTGACTTTCCAAGTAGTTCGAGAGGCAGCGGGTGGCCTTGGAGTCATGAGGTCCCATCCCAGGAAGTGCCTGAGTTGTGGCAGCATTCACAGATCAACAAAGAGGCTCATCACGGTGAGGGCTAAGCCTCCTTGACACGCTGACATCCACACCATGGTTCCCAAGTCTGGCTGCATGAACAACCTCCCAGGGGGTTTCTAAAAGTACAGAGTCCGTGCAACCCCATCCCAGCTCAGGGTCTTAAGTCTACTGAGTACTGAGATGTTCCTGGAATCCGGTGTTGAATCCAAGCTCCAACCCTGCCTCCTAGCCCTGGCAGCCAGGATCCCAGCTCTGTGCACTGGAAGGTGTAGTACACCTGCACAGGTAAGGGGGCCTCTGCTTGTCTCCCCTGGAGCTAGCACTATGGACCATTTAAGCCAAGAGCAGGAGGACCCCAGGGAGCAGGTGGGAGCCTAGCTCCCTGAGGAGTCTTCTCGCCAGGTGTTGACTCACTCACACAGGGAAGATAGTCACAGAGGGAATTGATCAGAAAACGCTGCAGGACAACTGGCCAACTTCCCTGTCCTACTTTCCCTCACCAATTAAGCAGCAGCTAATTTGTTAAGCCTCTTTTCCCCACACAGAGATAAAGAGCACTTGGCTGCAGTCTTTTTCCAGAGGCCGTGGCTCACACAGAGGCCAGCAAGGGTGACAGGAAGAGGTAGCTACTGCAGGCTGCGCAAGAACCCACAGCCCTCCCTCTGCGGTGCGTGGGGGCTGCCAGCCTGTGGGAAGGGCCTAGTGCTGCAGCTCAGGCCCAGGGCTCCCCCAGCTCCGCTGACTGCCCTACTAATGTGTCTTCTCCCTTCCTCTCCCAGCTGTCTCTGCAGCAGTGCAGGGTGAGTCCTCCCTAACTGGCAAGTGCAGGGTGGAGGTTTAGCTGAGTCCTCTCACCAACCTGCTCCACGCCCCACAGTGCCTGAGTTCCAGGCAGGCCGCACGCTCTGCCCACAACCCCTCACATCCTGTGCATGTCTCATTCCAGGGACTCCCCACATGTTCACTCCCGACCACAACACCCAAGACTCCAGCTGCCTGAGCCCTGCTTGGCACTCTGGGTGCCCAGAATTTACACCTCTCTCCTGGACAAGGAGCACCTGGAGACAGATTCCAGCAGACTTTCTCCCTGCCCGGGGCTTCCCATGCAAGCTTAGCGATTTCCAGAATCCCTCTGCAGGATGGAGCTGGAGTGACCTTTCTTGGCTTCCTACACCTCCCTGTTCCCCCACCCCCGGCTCTGTTTCTTGCTTTAACTCCTCTGGGAACGTTTCTTAATAAATCATTTTCACATAAATCCTCCTCTCCAAGTCGGCTCCGGGAGCCCAATCTGAAACAAACACCTTCCGCCTGGGATTGTGGTGAGAGTTAAATGAAATTACAGGCAAAGCCGTCAGCCCAGGAGGAAGCGCACTATAGACGATCAGTCGTCAAGAAGGTCTCCACATCCCCTCCCCAGGGCCTCCTGCCTGCTCTTCTTTGATGGTCGCTTTCAAATGTGCACAAGTGCATCATCCCTCCTGCCCTCCCTCCTTCCTTCATCCAACAGATGAAGGCCCAATGGCTGTCCTAACGCTCCATATCCAAGTAACACTGGAGGCCTCTGCACAGAGGAGCTGACCCAACAGGCTAATGAGGGCAGCTCCTGTATCCTGCATGGAGATGGCACCTCAGCTGGCCAGAGGACAATGGATCCTCAACATAAAGTAGAGATTGGGTGGGGACTCACACAACCACCAAGCTCCCCATGGAGTGTGGCAGCCAGGGCCCAAGTCAAGGTGAACCCAATGGGGTTGCTCGCTGCAGTAGCCCAAGCCTCACCTAGCACAGGTCACCCTGCTAAGTTGCTATGAGCCCTGCAAGGCCCAGGCCCACTTAGATCTGTGACCAACAGAACCCTGTAGAAGAAAAGCTGAGGAAGTAGGACTTCCAAGGGTCAAGCCAACTTTTTTCAAACTCTTTTGAACAGCAGAGGTGGCAGGTGCTAGCAGTGTAAGTGGACCATGGGACAGGCTGGGAGGGTGGACACAGGCAGCTAGTGGAGAAGGCACAACATGATGCAGGGACGTAGCTGGCTATCATATGTGTGTCAACTTGCATGGACATATATACATTGCCACCCACAATTTATGCACTGTCTGTCATATGCAGCCTCTGGGTGGCTGAGTGAGGACAGAAAGTGTCCTCTTGTATATGAGTAGCAGCCTTACTCTGAACCCCAGTGGCTCATGATATAAGCAATGCTGGGGCATATATGACACAAGATATCAACATGCCATCCTGTCCCCTGGAGACAGGGGACATTTGAATTCTGTTCTGGCCACCCTGATCCTACAGCTCCCATGAAGAAGGCTGAGGCCCAGCTCCAGCTCTTGGTCCCCAGCAGGGTCTGGACGGAACACAGGGTAGGCTGAGGCAGCAGGTGTCACAGCTGCCCCTCTGTGGTGTGGTGATGCAGATCTGATCCTGACAGAAGCAGAGAAGTTGAAGTGCTGAGCACACTGGAGGAAGTGGACAGCACACTGATCCACTGGAGGAAGCCTCTGTAGCTGAGGCACCTTTCCCTGTGTCCCCAGCCCGTCCAAAGCAGGGTAAGTTTATGTCATTTCCAAGAATTGCAAAAGCCTGCTTTTATTAGGCATCTCCTTAATACAATTCAGTGTTTTCCTCCACGCCTCATTTACTTCTAACCACCTAACCAGGTCTGCAGTGGTTTTGTCCCCCTTCATAGACAGGGACTGAGACCTCAATCTAGAGGCAGATCTTTGCAGAAGGCTCCTGGCCAGTACTCAGCACAGAGCACATTTGAATCCAAGTTCAGTGACTCCAAAGCCCATGTTCTTATTGTCACCTGGTCATGCTGCTCTGCAAAAGCCCAAACA